CAGACAGGACTGTAGCAGTGAAAAGTTTGTGTGCTAGTTCTCTCGGGTGTGAGAATTTTACTTAAAAACACTAATGTCGTATGACAAGAGACTTGGCTGGTTTTGAAAGCTGGGTCTAGGTTGTGCAGAATGAAGTATTTAGTAGGGCAAAGGTCTTGTCACTGTTTGAATGTGAAGTTCCTGGAACACAGCAATGTTTAGCCCAGCTATATATGTAGAATATGATATTCTATAAATAACATACGGCATTTTGTTTTCTGGGAGAAACAGGGTAAATAAAAGCAGGCATTAATCACTCTTCAGAGCTTGTTACCTCCTTCCCACTCCCAGTACAGGAAAGGTAGGTGAGAATCTGTAAACTGAAAAATAAACGTCCTAACTTAGACATTTGGCTTTCAAATAGCGTCAACGTATAATGAGATAACATGGATTCCAGAGTGACTGGGTACTGTCACTTCCCCATAATTGTCTGCCACTTAGCAGATATGGCAGACAAACTGATTACTCTTTTTAGCAGGCTATGTGTTGTCACATTGTCTAGTCTTGGGACACTGGCAGGATAAGGAAGAAATTTGCTTAATGCTGTGAATAACCAGCATTCATTAGGAACTTATGATGTGGCAGACCCCAAGCCTGATCCCGCTCTTGTAGATACCAATTAGAGCAGGATCAAACTGCCTCTACATCTTCATTGCTGCTGGAGCAGATTCGGGGGGAAAAAAAGAATCCCTGAAATCACATAAAGCCTGCATGAATATTTCTGCCTGTAAATACTTCTGCTTGTCATTAATTGGCAATTACTTTGATGCTATTCTTGCTAGACTGAAGCTTCTGCCGTAGCAATGATGCATTTTACTAATGACAGATTATTAATGTGATCGGGGAAGTCAGCCCATGTCAGGGAATGAATTGTTACCTTACATTCAGAGTCTGGTTTGGGAGAGCAGAATCTGTCGGGTGAAGTAATGAATAAAATAAATTTCTGTCAGTTTCTGTCTGGGGAGATGTTTTTTGCTATTTGTCTATGTGTTTTTTTCCAACTAGGGTGGCTCTTTGGACACATGTTATCTCTGACACACCTGCATTTGAGAGCTACCCAAATGTTTAAGAATGAGAAGAGCAATTTCTTTCTCTATGGTCTCATTTCACCCTCTGTCCCCTGTCCAATGAATATAGTGGAAGTCCCCATCGTTTGGAAGTTAACATTGATAAAAACAACTTTGCATAGAACAAAAGTAGCATATCAACAGTGCTCCTTATTGCTTAAGTTGATAGCATGGGGATATGGAGAGCAGTGCAGTGGATGGTGTTACATCCTCTTCGATGTTACATAATCAGGATACCTCTGAACTGTGATGAAACCAGAAGAAAGCTGAAGGTGTGCTCATCTGACAGTTGCTCCCTCTAACAAATACTGTGCATTTTGTTCAGGTTAGCAATGGTCCGTAGTGGAAAAAATGGTGGGCTCCACCTGAAGCAGATTGCATACTACAAACGAACAGGAGAGTATCATCCCACAACATTATCAAGTGAAAGAAGTGGAATCAGGAGAGCAGCCAAAAAATTTATTTTCAAAGGTAAAAAAACTCTCTAACTACTCTGAAAATGATTTTTAGGTGAAGGTTTGCTGATACACAAAAAAGGAAGTGGGATCTTGCTCTGCAGCATACTGTGATTTTAATATACGTTCTCTATGAAACAAACACTCTGTTTAACCCTTGTTAATATGTAACACGATGTTTACAGAAACGGGAACTCAATCTGCTTTAGTCCTTTCCGGGAGGGACTTAGTTATCTATCTAAAAGCCAAACCTTGTTCCAGATACTGGGGAAGTATGTAGCCATTGCAGTCTGTAATTCGAAGGACCTCAGAAAGGGAGATAGAGATCTGCAGCTGTAGACAAGGAACGCTGGGTCTGGTCTGGACAATGCTGTGTGTGGCTGGGCAGAAGTGCAATGATGGCTTCGCCTGCCAGCCCTTCCCAGCTTTACTGCATCCCTGCGAGGAGGTGTATGAGCCTTTGCAGTCTCCTGTGCTCTCTCAATCCCATCAAACCTGCCAAGTCTATGTAGAGATAAGGTAGGGAGGAGTTAAAGCTGTGAATCTTAAAGTGAGGTTGCTGGCAGGCAGACAGTAAGTCTCATAACACATCCTACCTCCCCTTCCCATGCTTGGCATTAGCTTGTGTTTCAGTCAGACTTCCTGTGGGAACATTGTTTGCATTCTGACTTGGCCTTACGTCTCATGTCCAGATGAATAAACACAGGTGAACAATTGGCTCTTTGGAGGAAATAATTAAAGTATTCGTAAACAAAACCCTACATTTACACAGAAGTGAAGTTGATTTAATAAATCCGGTGCTGAATAATGCCCAGTTGTTTAGTAAACTAAACAAAAGACAAAGCACTTGCATATAATTTGCTGGTACTTTTCTTTTTTTCAGAAAATAAATTGTTCTATGTTGGAAAAGACAGAAAACAAATGCGCCTGGTAATTGTTTCAGATGAAGAGAAGAAAAAGGTTCTTGAGAAATGCCATGAAAATGCTGCTGGCACTCATCATGGTATATCAAGGACACTGACTTTAGTAGAATCTGGTTACTACTGGACCTCTGTTACAAATGACGTCAAGCAGTGGGTATGGTCTCATAGCTACAGGACTTTTTTAATGTAGTCTTCATTACAAACGTTTTGTAATCATATGACTTTGGTAGAGCAAGGACCCATACTGCTTCATGATGAGGAAACATAAGGTTACAGCCAAACTTTAAATGGTCTTCTTGCCAAAATATTAGTGTTTCGTTTTTCTTGTTTCGTTTGCAGCTGACCATGTGGCTTGCATATTGCTGTATGTTATGCAGTGGAGGGGAGCTATACTGCCTTTAAGTATGCAGGGCACATCTGGTCTTTGAGAGGGACTTCTCTTGCAAGGACTCTTGTATATCTTTGTAACGATGGAGTGTACTATCCCAAGGATATGTGGCCAGAGTGGCTGCTGGTAGATAAGAATATGAAAATGGTGACTCTGCCTCACAATAAGGTGTGTTCAGGAAATAAACAAATCGCTGCTTGTGAAACAACCTTCTCCTCCTTCACCCAAAGGTACATGGTTATGATCTCTAGGCAGACTGTGATCCTTGAGGAAATTGTATGTAAATGTCCTTTACGGCCAAACTACTGTTGCTTTCAGCTTGCCGCATCACCTGAATACTTTGAGTTTATATGCAACTGTAACATAAGCTGAAAATGAGTCTTTGCTTTCGATTCAGACTTGGACAAAGGGACTCTGTCCTGTAGATAAAGCTGATCCATATGGAGGATTACATGGTAGAACCAAAAGGAGAATGACGGGACTTTCTTTCGATCCCAGCTGCTTCATACTTCCTTTAGTATTTACAGATGGTAATAGATACTAAAATTTATACTGTGGACTTGAAAGAGCACAGTGCTTTCAGGATGAGGAGAGTTCACTATGAATTCTTGCACATGTCCTTTTCCTGGCCTTCCTTGTTGTTTGGTTTTGTTTTGTTTTTATGCTGGGGCTGAAAAACTGAAAGGTAAAAAATTAGAAGAAAAATGATAAAATTAATTTGGTTTTCATTGCCTCGTCTGACCTAACTTACAGAGGAATAGTGGAGATTTATAATCCTGCTGATTGTCTTAAACCTTTACCATTGCTTTTTAGTGATAGCATCTTTCCTGATTTCTTCACTAGGTGTATGCTTGCCAGCACTGCCAAGTGGCAAAGAATACAACCACCACAGCACCCAAAACACACCCTATCAAAGCAGAGGAGCCATGGACAGTTGTCACTATAGACCTAATGGGACCTTTTAATGTTACCAACAGAAGCCACAAGTACATCATAATTATGACAGATTTGTTTACAAGATGGGCTGTTATCTTGCCTCTGCATGACACTTCAGCAGCTGAAATTGCTAAGGCAATCATACATGTGTTTTTCTTATATGGGCCACCTCAAAAAATGCCTATTGATCAAGGGAAGGAGCTTGTTTATCAGGTAAGACTTTACATGGTCTACATGGCTGGCTTTTTTTTTTTTTCCTGTATTAAATTTGAATTTTGGACCGTTCTTGAAAAAGACTGTAAATCTTTAATTTAAAAAGAAAAAAAAAGAAAGAAAGAAAAAGTTAGCACACACAAAAAATGACAAACCAATTATTTGCAATTATAACATTACGCAGTATTTCCCAGAATTTTATTCTTTGGTTGAAGAACAAAGCAAAATGATTTCCTGGTGGTCATAGTGTGTATTTTGTCACTCAGTTGAACTGGCACAAGCTTTCATGCTCTAACATGCTATATTTCATTCATCCATATTGTCCAGTATAGCAGATAGCTAAGGGTATTTTTGACAGTGGCATATAGTGATTTTGAAGAACTTTTCACACTTTGATCCTCTCAGAGATAATGACAGTGAGACTGTGATACAGAGGAAGTGACAAACTGAGTTAATGGCAGAAATGTTTTTAGAAACCATCAGTTACTGGCTTCTAAGCCATACTGATTTCTTCTAGCTCTCACTGTCAACCCTGTACTGTTTGGTGGGAATATGTATGTAAGGCTCTTGCTCAGTCACCATCATACTAACAAAAGAGTTGGAAGACTACTGAGTTTACTTGAACTGTGATACAGAAGAGGGAAGCCTTCAGTAATTGTGTTCTTTTTCTTTTGAAGATAAATGAAGAACTGTTTGCACTGTTTGGCATGAAACAAATTGTATTGTCTTATCCTCAGACAGATGATGTAAATGAAAGAACATGCAAGACAATCAAAACTTTCCTTAACAAATACTGCAGTGACCATCCAAATGATTGGGATGAACATTTGTCTGCTATTGCCTATGCTTTCAATTTGATAAATTTGGTATGTGAAGGTTCTTCCTCTTTTGACTGAAGTCCCCCAAAATATTTGCAAAGCTGTATGCTAAACTTGCGTGATTTTTGCTCCCCATTTACATAGGAGCCAGATCAAAACACTCCATATTTCCAAATGTTTAATCGTAACCCACATGTTGTTGAGCCAATGAATGTATGTGTGGAAGGAGAATACAGTATGTTTGCCAAAATATTTGAAGCAACTAAAAAAGCCAGTCAAGCACGGGAAGAAGAGAAAACTTCAGATTGCCAGGTAAATGTTACAAATTCAAATTTTACTAGTAAGAAGACTGAAGATAAAAGATGTGAAGTGTAAAGTATAACTAACCTTTTAAAGCAGTGTAGAGTTTTGTGCGGTTTTGGGGGGAGGTTGGTTTTTTCTCCTTTGCCTGTGATTCCTAGATTCCAGTGTACCTATTCTCCTATGTATTTGGAAGGAGTAACCTTAAAAGAGACCTGTTGCCAAGAGATTCATATCTGACTTAAGAGGGCTGCATGTCTATGGAAGATGAAAACCATTGTGTATGGACTATTGATTTGTGAAGGTAAAATGAATTTCTTCAGAACTCTCTAGCCCTACATATTATGAATTACACACATCCAAAACCACTTAATGTTATGCTTCTGCATTATTAATGAATGTTATGAAAATATATGATTGCTTTTGGAAAAAGGAAATGTAATTCATGTGAATCTTTCTGCAGGTGGAGAAAAACACTTCAGATGAACAAAAAGTTGGAAACAAAATCACTGTCAAAAGGAAGCCAAAGCAATTAAATACCCTTCGACTTAAAGTTGGCCATGAAGTCCTCAGACAAAGAAAAAACTGGTGGAAAGATGGTCGTTTCCAGTCGGAATGGGTTGGTCCTTGTATTATAGATTACATCACAGACAATGGCTGTGCAATATTAAGAGATGCCACAGGATCCAGGTTGAAAAGACCTATCAAGATGTCTCACCTCAAGCCATACATAAGAGGGTCCAGTGAAAAAGGTATATATATATATGTCTGTGTGTGTATGTGTATTTTATATATTAAAAAAAACTTTGGTTTTCTTTAACTCCTCTGTCACTTCTTGGTGTTAAGTTATATATGAACAAGTATAATTCACTCACCAGTCTGAATTAAACTGTAATTATTATATTATTACCCAGTGTTAGTTTTCAGTAAGGAGAAGAGTGAGTGTGAGTGACTTCAAACCTATGCAGAGCACGGAACAGAGCTAAAGAATCATTTTTAAAAATAGTTTCCATTAAAGTTGCTTGTAATCTGTTTTGGCCCTGTTCGTGCTGGCTGGCTGCTGAAAACACACTAGAAGTATAATCAGGCTGAGCTGTATTCAAATAACATTTTGTGTCTGTTTCTGTTTTGATGTAGACAGGATTCACACTTATTTTGCTTGTGCAATGGAAACCTAATTTTTTTTTTTTTTGCTTAGTATGACTAGTGCAGATGGTACATCTTTTTTTTTAAACAACAAAAGAGAGTCCTCTGAGGCCTTAAAATAGAAAGACTATATGAGAGAACTGATTTTTGCACAGTTTATTTTAAATTGTGCTACTGAAGAAGTAAATGTGTTTCTCTTAGCAGAGCAAATAAAATTGTCATGCTCTGCAGTAGGACTGCTAGAAATTCCCAAGGAATTCCCAAGCCACTCTTGCTCTTACACATTCAGTGCATCCTTTGCAACATTGCTGTGTTAACCCTGCCATCCCACCGCTAAATCATGTCCCTAAGCACCTCATATACCTGTCTTTTAAATACCTCTGGGGATGGGGACTCAACCACTTCCCTGGGCAGCCCATTCCAGTGCCTGCCAACCCTTTCTGTGAAGAAATTTTTCCTAATGTCCAACCTAAACCTGCCCTGGCACAACTTCAGACCGTTTCCCCTCATCCTATCACCCGTTACCAGGGAGAAGAGGCTGACCCCCACCTCGCTACAGCCTCCTGTCAGGTAGTTGTGGAGGGTGATAAGGTAATGAATACTCTGCGTGTAGAAGACTTCTGTCACAGAACAAGGTGCTTTTTTGTTCAAGTCACATGCATGTCAAGCAATGTAGATAATCTCCAGCTATTGCAATGACTTTGGTAAATTGTGCCATGGTATGGAATGTTAAATGTAGTGGTCTTTGTAGGATCAGAGCCAAATATGTTTACCACTAAGTACTGCAGCAGCAATAGGTAAGCACAGAATTTTTTCCCTTTCCAAGGGAGTGACTAGTTGTATGATGCAGGCAAAAAACTCAATGGCTTATGGATACTTACAAATCTTAAAATTATACACTATATTAATGCATATTTACACTGTGTAGAGAGGTAAACCAGGCTTTGCCGAAATAATTGCCAGCCTTTACCAAACAGCCTAACAGCAATCAAGAAAGAGAGTATTATTTGAGTTCGGTAAGAGCAGTGAAACCAGGCAGTTAATGACATACCTAATGACTTCTTTTTCATCCATAAAGAAATGCATGTACCTTTGTTGAAAAGGACTTCTTTAGCAGAGGTGGACTTCTTTTATCTGCAACTTATTTATTATTCCTACTGCTGTGGTATAAGTCTGGTGGCTGTCCCTTTGGATAATCTTGGATGGGAACAAAGCATTTGCAGCGTTCTTTGTGAGATCGATGTGGAAAAAGCACATCTTATGTGAGGATATTTGTGGCCTTGCCCACCAACTTTGCAAGGGTTGTTAAGTGTTTTTCTTACCCTGTTCCAAAAATCTGAAGTGTGTCTTGCTTTAGTTGTGTGAGTTTGGGAGTTGTAAAGAGGAAAGGCAAAGCCTGAAAATGAAGTGCTTGCTTTTTATGTGAGGAAAAAATCTTTCACAGATAAGAACGGGCAATCAGAATCAAGCTATTTTTTTCATAATCTTTTGTAACACCCTTGTTCTAAAGATAAATCCAGAGTCAGTGCATTGATAAGAGACCTTGTGTCCAGGCATCGCAGTTTTGCTATCTGGATGTACCTGGGTTGCTTGCTACCTGGTTGTCTTTACAGCCAGGCAGAGGTTCCAGGACACCTTACGCACACATACATATATGGGTCTAAAGCAACGTTTTGTTTTTATTTGAGTGCAGTTTGGTTTAAACATTAAACTCAAGAGAATACCTCTGGGTCCAGCACTCAAAAGATGCAGGAGTGCAAATAGGCAGATTTAGGACACATCTGTTGAGAAACACGGCCAGAAAAGTGCAGTTTCACCTCCATAGTAGTTCCCACAAAGGTCCCTCTTTGGACCTACATCTTGCAAAGGCAGTTGTAGCCCACTGTGCAGAGATACTTATCTGTTGAAAGGCTCTTCTGATTTAACAGAACATTTAATTTCACACTAAGGTCCTCATGTGAGGCAAGGAGATAGGGCCTAGCCTCATCTTCCAAAACAGAAGTATTAACCCCATGTTGACAGTTACACTTCTAATTTGTCTAGTCAGACTTTTCATTTTATTTGAACTCCTTTGGAAAAATCAAACACTCTAACCCTATATTGGATAGAAGACAAGCTCAATAATACTATACAGTAGCAATCACCATTGTTGTCTTTAAATTCTATAAAACTGTTGTGTGTTTTTGTTTTGTTTTTTTTTTAATTTCTTGAAAAAGCCTATTGTGTTATATTAAGACTTCCCAGCAAGAGTTTGGAGTGGCCACGTTTCTCAGTGTGTGTGCAGAAAAGAGAAGAATCTGCATGTCCATTAATTTAAGGTACTAGTTCAGTAGGTGACTTATGACAGATGTCAAGCTAGTCATTGACCTAGCAAAGAAAAACCTTTAGTGTGGAGCACTGCAAGCATTATTTTGTGGATGTAATGAGACGCAGCCAAACTTTTGATGGTCAGTGAAATTACAAAATTCACATTATCTGACTGGTGTCACTCAAACATGCTTGTCCTCTATGGAAATTGTTTGAAAAGTAAGTTAGCACCTCACTAGCGTCTTAAGTATGGCTTCCAGTAAACTAGAAGGATCTGATTTAATGGCTATTTTTCTTTTACAGACAACCATTACTTTCTACAAGGTGCAGTAGTTGTTGACCATGACTATATTGGCTTATCTGAAAGATCCTATAATCCAAGCCAACAAGACTCTGTTGCTGAAGAGGAAATAAATGCCTGTACAAGAGATGTCACATCGGCTGTGCAAATGCCACCTGCATCTTGCGAAGACCAAAATTCAACAGATGTTAAACATCAGTCTGAGATGGCAGAAGATCATTGCATTGGATCGAACAATGCAGAGCCAGAGCAATGGCCTTCATCTTGCTGGACATTTCAGACCAAGATAGAGGATACTTAAGCATAGTCTCATTGCCAAACAGTTTGGAACTTCTGTGGCAGACTGAAAAAAAATGTAATAGATTCACATTCCTTAGCCAAATCTCCTTTATTTGTGAATACAAGAGTACTTCAGCTGTCCACTGGTTAATTTGTATGGGCATTAAGAAGGAATTTCTCTGTTACTAAAAACGTAGGCACAACCTAGTAAAAGCACATGTTCTACTACCCTATGAATTTAAGAACACTGTACGTGTCCAGTGGTTAACTTATGTGGGTGTTGAGAAGCATGCACTCAGTGACCAAAAGTACAGGCACAACTTAGTAAAAGCACATATTCTTATGCATTTGAATTTCAGATTTTGCTGGCAGAATGGCAGTACCTTTACTGTTATCCTCTCAGGACAGAATGCATCATTTCACTGTAATGACCTTTTCATTAATCCTTAGATGACTCATTCCTAATGTGTAGAGACACTGTGGGATGAATATAATCTAAGCAACTTGATGTGAATTTTGCCTCCGTTGTAGAGAGAATCCTTTTCCTGTTATAAAAGTTTCCTATTCTTTCTCAGAAACTCCAGCCGCTGACTTTTACAGCTTTTAATTTCTTTAACATCTCACAAAACAGTAAAGCTGCCAAAATCAATTACCTGTAATGTTCTGCGTATGAAACAACATGGCCTTCAGCTTGATATCACTGGCCACAGCTGTGTAAGAAAAGAGCTCAGCACTATGACAGATACTATCTTAAAATTTAAATGAAAAAATAGAACGTATTTTGTGTATTCTGAAAATCCAGTCATACATAAATACACCTTTTCTCCACAGAGACTGTTTCAGAAAGAGGGTGCTGGGAGGCAGCTGAGATGCTGGCTTAACAGGCTCCTCTATGCCAGCTCTACAGAGCACTTGGGGATGAACAAGTTTTGTGTTGGTGTTGACAAAGCTATGCAATCTTTCTGTTAGCTGCTGTTACTCCCAAGCCATGCTGTCCTCTGAGGACAGGTGACCTTTACAGTCATCTGCCTAGTGCAGTCAGGGAAGTAAAGGAAGTGTGCCCGGTGAAACACATTTGTCAAAAAAAAAAAAAAAAGCTGGGACATCCTGTCAAACTAGTTAGAGCAGCAGAAAAAACACATGCAAATATGACATAACCAGTAAGTGTGAACAATGGCCTTACTTCGATTTAATTTTTTCCCCCAGTAATGAGCACTGTGGTCATACATTATTTTTTCCCTGGAATAGTAGTTTAAAAACAATAATCTCTTCGGGTGCTGTGTGCTATGGCTGCTGGATGTTCATGTCATGATGGTGATGTGCAACCTCAATTGCTAATCCTTAATGGAGTCCCTGGCTCTTTAAGCCAACCCCTCCTTCTCCTTATGTACCTTTGTTTCTTCCACTTTGATCATTGACTGAAGTGACACCTTCCGCTAGGGTGGATTTGTGTTGTTAGGTACAGTGTGTGTGTGCGTGCATGCAGTATGTATCTACATATGCAGTGCGTGAAAAAAAAAATGGGGATAAAATTGGAGAATAAGGGAGCTCTCTGCGTAATTGCTTTCTGCTGTGTTAGATGCAGAAAAAAAACCCCAGTTTTGTTTGTTTTTTTTTTTTTACTTCAACTGATCAGATCCTTGTCTGTGCACAGTACAGCAGAGCTGTTTTCTGGGGAAGGTCTGGAGCAAGACAAGTGCTGTGTACTTGCTAAAGCTATGTCAGAGAGAAGCTGCTACAGTGTCAGTGGAACAGGAAAACCACAAAACATTCAACACACTCTGTAATGATGGTCATTTGGGCTTGCTGGTAATATCGATCTACTGTATTAACAGGCAGGCATTAGTGCCTCTTTAGTGTGCCTAAATGGGGCCACCTTTGCATGTAGGAGGCTCCCTGAAATAAAATACAGGGGTTTCAAAGTAAGGATGTGAAAAACAGTCAATAGAAACTGTGGAAAAAACCCACCAGCAAACCTGAAATGTTGCAAGCAGCATGCTGGGGAAGCGCAGAGAAACCCCTTGCACCTTTGCCATAGTGAAGAGTTGTTCAGTGTATGCTTGTGACCACAGTGAGTCACGACCTGCCTGCTTTCAGTTTGTGTTTTAACCAACTTGGATAAACACACAAATGCCCCTCTGTACTCTTTTTCACTGACACAGGGGTTTGGTTTATGATAGGACAATAGCAAAAGGCTATTTTGTAACAGAATTCTTGGAAATTCTGTTTTCTAATGGGGTTTGTGCCCCCTCGTGGCAAGTTGTTCAGAGGGGAGGAATAAGAAGGCAGCACAGCATGAAAGAGAAAGTGCAAATTTCCTCATACCTCCCACACAGAACTATCAACATTTATCTTTTGGGTTTGCTAGTAGCGCTACCTACCAGCTCACAGTTTGATGAAAAACACCATAAAAAACATCTGCTAGTGAAAAGACGCTGTACCAACATTCTGAGTGTTTCACTGTGGAGTGACAATCATTCCTCTATTGTTTGAATACTTCCTGAGCTGTTGCGTAGTGTTTGCCAGTTCTGTGTTACAGTGTTCTTGCTTTCCAGCTACAGACATTTTAAAATACTTTCCTTCTTCTCCCTAGATCTGATTGTTCACTGCTGGAGGGCACCAATGAGTCATGATTTGCTTTTCACAGCAAGCAGTTAACAAATCTTCTGGAAATACAACTTTTGAGAACCAGATAAGTTTACTTGCTTGCTTGGGTACAACATCCATATCAATGACCTCTTGCAGCAGACATCATTACTCTAATGGCTGTCAAAATCTCTGCATAATATGGAATGCTTGGAGTTTTCAAAATACATTATGGAATATTTTGAGGGATTGGAGTGGATTGGATGCTCTCAGTTAACTTGTGGGACTAGCTGAAAATAAAACACGCAAGCTCTGGGATCTCACCAGGTGGTGGAAACTCAGCAGGGCACATCAGCAGCTGCCATTGTACGTTGGCCTGAGAGTATGCTGCCCACCTGTGAATTCAACAGAAGGAAGTGCCATGTTAGAAGTCACCAAGCAAGACCAGACCCTGGTTTAAATTAGAAGGCTAAAATCAACACAAATAAAGAGGATTTAGCAGTGTCTTCAGGAAATGGGTATTACACTCTTCTACGCATGTGGGAAGACTTTCTGGCCTGCTGTGGGAATCAAACCATGTAGGCATTTAGAATGAAAAGCAGTACACAAAAAGCTTGAATAGAAAGGCTCTTCCAGATACAAGTAATCAGACAGTAACTTAATTTTAAAACATTTGATTCAGGAACTGTTAATCTTGAGAGATACATTCCCCGGTCCATTCTCCTTCCCTCCTCTCTACTTGAACACAGACGAAGACCACATTTGCAAATACAAGTGTGCTCAGGTTGCCTGAGCTGCCCACTTGTTTGCCCCGTTGTGGTAGGCATTACTGCAGGCTCTGAGGGTGGGTTCATGCATCTATCTTCCCACAGGGCAGCGGCCTTGTGCAGTCCATTTTACCCTGAAGCTGTGCAAAGTGTTAGCAGTGATGAAGGCATCTGCAGAAACCTTGCTGCGTTGGTAGCAGAAATAAGTGAGCTGGTAAACAAGAGAGGTTGTAGGAAATGCAGAGTTTCCAGTCTGCCAGGCAGTGCTGCCCTGCTGCAGATCGCTAGCATCGTGGCCCATAGATCAGCTGGATACAACTGTCCATAGTTTAAAGGGTAGAAAGGAAGACCCTGGGAACTACTGACCTGTCAGCCTCACGTGTGTGCCAGGGAAGATCATGGAACAGATCCTCTTAGAAGCTATGCTGAGGCACATGGAGGCCAGGGAGGTGATTCGAGATAGCCAGCATGGCTTCACCAAGGGCAAGTCCTGCCTGACTAACCTAGTGACTTTCTATGATGGTGTGACAACACGAGTGGACAAGGGAAAACCAATGGACATCATCTATCTGGACTTCTGCAAAGCCTTTGACATGGTCCCCCACAACATCCTTCTCTCTAAATTGGAGAGCTATGGATTTGATGGGTGGACTGTTCGGTGGATAAGGAATTGGTTGGGTGGTCGCATCCAGAGGGTAGTGGTCAATGGCTTGATGTCCAGGTGGAGACCGGTGATGAGCGGTGTCCCTCAGGGGTCCGTACTGGGACCAGTGCTGTTTAATGTTTTCATCAATGACTTAGTGAGATCGAGTGCATCCTCAGCAAGTTTTCGGATGACACCAAGCTGAGTGGTGCAGCTGACACATCAGAAGGACGGGATGTCATCCAAAGAGACCTGGACAGGCTGGAGAGACCTGGACTGGACATGAGCTGGCAATGTGCACTGGCAGCATAGGAGGCCAACCATACCCTGGGCTGCACCAGGAGAAGCATGGCCAGCAGGTCGAGGGAGGTGATTCTGCCCTTCTCCTCTGCTCTGGTGAGACCTCACCTGGAGTATTGCGTCCAGCTCTGGACCCCTCAGCACAAGAAGGACATGGAAGTGTTGGGGCGGGTCCAGAGGAGGGCTACAAAAATGATCCGAAGGCTGGAGCACCTCTCCTACGAGGACAGGCTGAGGGAGTTGGGCTTGTTCAGCCTGGAGAAGAGAAGGCTGCGGGGAGACCTGATTGTGGCCTTTCAGTACCTAAAGGGGGCCTATAGGAAAGATGGGGAAAATCTTTTTAGTAGGGCCAGCTGTGACAGGACAAGGGGTAATGGTTTTAAACTGAAGCAGGGTAGATTTAGACTGGATATAAGGAAGAAAGTTTTTGCAGTGAGGGTGGTGAAACACTGGAATGGGTTACTGCGTAGTGGAGGCCCCATCCTTGGAAACATTCAAGGTCAGGTTGGGGGGGCTCTGAGCAACCTAATGTAGTTAAAGATATTCCTGATCACTGCAGGGGAGTGGACTAGATGATCTCTAAAGGTCCATTCCAACCAAAAGCATTCTATGATTCTATGATAATTTAGCAGTTGTTACTCACGTGGTCCTTGACAACAATCCCTGAGCTTTCATCAGCAGAGCTGGAGTATTCAGAGTTGCAGCTGGTGGCAAGCAGCAGTGCCTTGGATATATAAAGTGATATCTAAGTGGTTTAAAAGGGATTTCACGAATTCAGTACTTAAAAATAGTTGATGTTTTTTGACAATTTATGCCTTCAATCTCTCTACGCCCCACTTCCCCCTTCTGTACAAAGAGAATAGCTCCATGACAATTCCCAGACATGCTGAAAAAAATATTAATGATTCTTCACAAAGCTGGCAGGCATAGCAAAGAAAGCCCCAGTAAAAAAGTCCACAAGAAAACGGGTTCTATATTTTGTGCAGAATTTCAGTGACATGCAGTAAATAATACATGGGGTTCCCTACAAGATTGGTTTTGAATGTTCATCATATAGTTGGAGGCATCATCTACCACTTCCACAGACTGAAGACAAAGGAAAAGGAGAGGGTTTAGCGTATGGTTACAGTACCACACTGGCAAACTTAATTTTTGAGATTCTTAACTTCAGTATGTTTGACTCCACAGACATTAGGGGTTTATTTTGGAGCCTGCATGGTTGCACAGTGTCAGTCTGTTGCTGCAGGAGCGCGTCCTGCACACCTGGCACTGACTCCACCACCATGGCACGGTGAAGATGCAATGCTTGCAGAAACTGCTGCCCGGTAGTTTGGTTCTCTGAGTCTTCCGTTCCCAAACTACAGGCTCAGCAAAATTATTGCCTGGTTACAGTAAAACCCGTAACCAGATGGTAATTATGGAAGCACAAATGTATTTCTGAGAGCGATGTGACCTGCATTATGTGAAGGCTCCATGACTGACCTTTCACAGGTAACATTTACAGTACAAAAATAATCCGCTTGTGCATTAGGTAGTTGGCACTGTAACTGCCAACTATGGCAAACGTTCAATCCAACTTTGCAGCTTCCTAAGAACCGGGCACCTTTCAGCACACATTAAACCTTGGTGGCTGTGAGCAGGATCTCACATACAGGTTGAATTGTGAATTGTGGAATTCAGGCAGTTTTAGTGCAAGTAATTTTATCTTGAGCTGCAGTTTTAGGATAGGATGTGCCACGGCAGAAGAAACCAGTAACAAACATGGGGGGGAGGGAGGGAGGCAAAGCATTGAGGAGTAGGGTGGCTGGGGCAGGGTTCTGCTCTTAAAACATACATGGTAAGTACCACCAACTTTAGCCTGTTATGGCTGGGCATGTGGGTTGCCTTATCCCCATTCTGTCAAAATTCTTAAATTCTAATAAAAAAAAAATGTTTCTCATAGCTTTCAGTTTGAAAAACAGATGTAGTTGGTAATAATAATTTCTCTAGTTTGCTGAACTGTTGCCACTGCCTATTTGCTAGGAACAAATTGCTCCAATGCATCTTTAAAATTGTACTTTTGGCACAGTTACCTAGGAAAAAAATGCCTCTATGTGTGGTTTAGCTCCAGTCAGCAGCCAAGAACCACACAGCTGCTTGCTCACCTTCCCCCTGGTGGAGGGCTCCCCTGATTTATATACTGAGCATGATGCCCTACGTTCTGGAATAGCCCTTTGGCCAGTTTCGGTCAGCTGTCCTGGCTGTGCCCCCTCCCAGCTTCTTGTGCACCCAGCAGAGCAGGGGAAGCTGAAAAGGCCTTGACTGGTGTAAGCACTGCTCAGCAACAACTAAACCATCAGTGTGTCCTCAACATTATTGTCATATTAAATCCAAAACACAGAGCTATGCCAGCTACTAGGAAGAAAATTAACTATCCCAGCTGAAACCAGGACAGTAACTAATAATAATTTCCCTAGTTTGCTGAACTGTTACTACTGACTATTTGTTCCACTAGGAACAAATTGCTTCACTGCATCTTTAAAATGGTACTTCTGGCACAGTTCCCTAGGAAAAAAAAAATGCCTTTACATCATCTGTGTATTTTTTTTTTTAAAGTTGTACAATTAAATCAGACAGAGCTTCACTGGCAGGATATTGTGCTTCACATGCAGCTAGTTGACAAGAAACACTAGCGGAAAGGAGCTAAAGAAAAGAGCAGTTCAGCAAATGTGTCTTCGTGACCTGGAGGAGTTAGAAAATTCTAGTGCAGCTTCCAAGTTGCTCCCATGCAGCTCCCCCTTGTACCTCTCCAAATATGTGTGTAACAAAGCCAGCTGGATGCTCCTTTAGGTTTTTCCAGCCACCATGTCCAGAAACAGCAAGAAGGTCACAGGTTTTGCTTCGATAAGTAGCTGCCACTGGAGATTTAAAATCCTCCTCTACACTGTTAGCTCCCCTCTTTTCTTTTGCCAGTAATGTTAAGCTACACAGGTGAATCTAAATTTTTCACAGGTGTTGTAGAGGAGTTTGAAGAGCAGTTATAGGGTAAATTTTGCTAACAAATTTTGAAAATTCACAATGAAGGAAAAAATATTTTCACATTTAAGAAGTAAAAAACCCCCAGCAACCAGGTAGAGGCAAATCAGGGTGCTAAAACTCTAGGGTTTACTAGCATCTACCTTACATAGAAAATACAGTGGCCTAATTTCAGATCTTAATTTTAATTGACCTGGACATTTGGTTCTGTTTTTATTAGTACATTACATGAATCCACACAAACTGTGCACTACATCATAACAGAGTCTTTCAAATTTAAACGTATGTCCCAGTGTGCAATTAAGTAATAAAGTTCCTTTTGAGTTGCTCAGCAGTAATCCGCTCCCCATAACTTGTATTGCCAATACGTACAAAGTCTTTTCAAACAAGTTCCTACATGTGTGTTTGAATGGCAAGATAAAGATCAGCGAAGTCCCTTCTCTGTACCACGACCCGCACTTAATCCTAATCCTCTGTAGCATGACAGACATCACTGGCCCAAAAGTTCTGATAAAGCATAAATAAATCTAGTTTTGGCAAGCAAGAAGCTGTTACAATTTACTGCATTGATCTATAAATCCTCATTAACTACTACAGTGCACCACTTAATTAGAAAACTCTACTTAATCAAGATGCCTCCCAAGGAATCAATTTACACCTAATGATACTTGTGGCAAGGACCGCTGCTTAATTGGGATGGTAATTTCATTTAATTGGGACACCTTCAGGTGACTTGGGTGACAACTGGCACGTTAGGGCTTGCTGCGTCCTGCCCACGGCAGCTCGTGGTTGCCCCTGTCAGCCCTCACTTTGGGGCTGTGACACCCCCCTACCGGAGGCCAGCAGCCCCCTTCGCACCGCTGTGCTAGGCTGTTCAAAACAGGGAGATGCTTCACACAGTACTACCACAGGGAAAGGCGCTTAGCTACTTCATCGGCTTCATTTTAATGAAAATATTCAGCCCCTACAATAGCTGAGTTTTTTCCATCTTGAAAAGGCTTAAGAAAAGATGAATTGGCAATTCATAAAAGCTAGTGTCATGTCTTTGAAGCCTTAAAATGTGCAATTCCATGTTGTTCATTAAAAAGCATAGTCTTAACCGGGACAATTGCTAAATTAAACACGTGCACTCCAGCTCCACTAGCCAAGACTGACTAAGCAGTATTCAACATTTAATACATAAATAACTGTATTAGCACATAGCACCTGCTAGGATGGTCTGCTGGCTGATTAAAACTAGAGCTATGATTACAGAAAGCTTGTGTCTTCCTTTTCATATGAATTTTCTATTGCAGTGTGAAATCTCTGGTACATTGTTTTCATAAGATGCAACTTTAATTAGAGATAAAGAACATTCAGTGCCTTCAAGCAGGTTCAGCTTTTCTGCCATTGTACCTGTATGAAATTAAAGCATGCAACTTGACATGCTGAAATTCACTGGATGCTGGAAAGGTAGCTGTTTGTCTGTCAACGCAGTTATCAGAGAATCACAGAATGGTTTGGGTTGGAAGGGACCTTGACCATCAAGTCCAACCCCCTGCAGTGATCAGGAACATCTTTCACTAGATCAGGTTGCTCAACCTGACCCTGAACACTTCCAATGATGGGGCATCCACAACTTCTCTGGTTAACCTGTTCCAGTGTTTCACCACCAGCATTGTAAAAAAAAAAAAATTCTTCCTAATAACTAGTCTGAATCTACGCTCTTTTAGTTTAAAACCATTAGCCCTTGCCCTATTGCTACAGGCCCTACTAAAAAGCCTGTCCCCATCTTATAAGCCCCCTTTAGGTACTGAAAGGCCACGAGGTCTCCTTGTAGCCTTCTCTTCTCCAGGCTGAACAAGCCCAACTCCCTCAGCCTGTCCTCGTAGGAGAGGTGCTCCAGCCCTCGGATCATTTTTGTAGCCCTCCTCTGGACCCACTCCAAGAGGTCCATGTCCTTCTTGTGCTGAGGGCTCCAGAGCTGGATGCAGGGCTCCAGGTGAGGTCTCACCAGAGTGGAGCAGAGGGGCAGAATCACCTCCCTTGTCACGCTTCTCTTTATGCAGCTCAGGATTATTGCAGAGACAAGTCTCTGAACTCCAGAGAGCAGATTATCACTGACGCCAAACTAATCTGTTTTAGTATGTACTTGCAAGTAAACTGTGTTCAGCTACTCCCCTCTCACCAAAGCATTTTTTTTAATTGGAGAGAAGGATCAGCTAAAGGAAAGGAGGAAGGAGGCAGCTGCATGTTATCTTTATCGACCTAATACCAGGGAAGCAGAGAACACCCAACATCAGATGGACATAACGTGTGCTATCCAAATGCTAGAAAAAAAGCCTGTGATCTTTTAGAACTGATGCCATATACACCACGTATGACAGCAGTTCCACCGCAGCTCTCCTAATTGCTCGCATTGAAAACTTCCTGTAAACTGGTGACTTGTCATCTTTGCAGGCAGCTTTAGAAGATCCTTCCCAAGGACCTTATTTGTTTTATTCATATACAAGAGGATCAAGGCCACAGCTAAAAATAAGAGTGTCTTGCTTTCAAAGGCAAGACAGACAGAAACAGGCCATTTTCATTGTAACATTCAGAAAATAGAAATTGGCAGGAAAGGAAGTGACTTAAGAGTACGCACTAAATACATATCACATGAAACTGAGCCTGTACTCCAGCATTTTAGAAAGCTATCCTGGAGATTTTGCTGTACTTGAGAAAAAACAACCTGCCAAGGATTTTGAGTTTTTGTTCCAGAAAAAGATTTATAAAATATTGCCGGGGGAGGAAATCTTATCTTTTCTTCCATTTACCATCACCTTTATTCCCTCAAAAAATACCTTGTGAAACCTGCCGCCACAAGAAACCTAAAGACTATTTTTCAAGCTCAACACCAGCAACAGCCTGTTGTAATACCTGCAATGATGATAATGAAAGCTGTTTCATAAAAACCTGTGGCAATTACAGCTGTGTACACTCTGCTCATAATACAGGTTTTAAAAGGAGATTAATCATGTTCTGATCCTCAAACTAGACTGATAAATCATGATGATGTCACACAATGATTCACACTTCAGATGACTCATACAGCCAGGATAATTACCTAGCAGGTCTTCCGCAAATCTCCTGTTCAATGAGTGAGCACATTAGGGAATTGAGGACTCCTGCTGTATGGATGGAAAAGGAAGTGTGGAGAAACAAGAAAATCAGTACTACAAATCAGGTAGTATTAAATGCCTATTCTGACTAATTTGCATATTTAATTTGAGACACAGGTTTCCTCTTAGCTGTGACCAGGTTTTATTCAAGTAAATACCCTACAGTTTTATTATACAAGTAAAACTCCTCTTTAAATGTTTAAGCTTGACTTTGTACATGTATGTAAATCCTTAGTCTTCAAAAGAAAAAAACCCTGTGACATAGTAAAGTTATTTTTCCAGCTTCCATACAAAATAGCACTTTTTCTCTGCTGGTAGAAGACATTAAAATTTTTACTGTATTAAGTGGTCTGTGTAAGTTTTACAAAAGTTGGATATAAAAACCAAAAAAGTATGCAAAAATTCCAAAGTACACTCTGACAGCTAATGCTCTGCGAATACTTTATTACACAAATTACATTCAGCTTCTGAAAATAGTGTTCTAACAGTGATACCATCTAAAAATAAGACATTCCAGAAACACATCAAGTTAGGAAGAAGAAAAAAAATTAAATAGAGACTTTTTTCTTTCCTTCAATGCAATATAATGCTAGTGATTTTAAAAAAATAGAAGAAGATTTAGCAGCTTCATTTTCTTGTGGCACTGTATTTTCTCTGTACTGCAACAGGTTAAGGACATTGAATAGGAAAGGCACAAAACAGAAATTGGCAACTGAACAGTTACAAGAAAAATATTTTGAAGCAGATAGTAAGACTTATTTACAAGATCCCCAGTTTGAGATGAGAAGATACTACTGCTTTAAATCAGTGCTGCAATTAGAAGACTGTTTGCTTTATTAGATGGTCACATAAAAAACAATGGCACTGATATGGAATTTCCATACACTCCTCCACTTAAAAAACAGAACTAAAACCAAACAAAAATTAAAGTAACCAGTGTACAGCCCCACACAGACTAGTACAGTTTACAATTAAATACACAAAATCTTAAACGTGCTTAAGGGAAAAGGAATCTGACATTCAAGGGTGAATCGTATAATGGAGAACTCAAAGGCTGGTTTCAGGATGATGAAGGTGCTGGTGGGGGTGGAGGTGCTGAACACTCTTCCTCTGAATCTGTGCCATCATCTTCGTCTTTTTCTTGATCGCTTCCCTCAGTGCTCAGTCGGTCAAACCCTTTTCGGCTGTAGCCTTTGTGGCTTGCAAAGAAGTTCCCAAGGTTTAGGCCACCACCGCCTTTCCCTGTGGAAAGGAAAGGCTTGTCATATGGTTTGCTTTACTGTACAGGGGGAATAAAAATCTATCTACTCATTCAACGATATAGTGGAAATTTTTTAAAGCGTCCTTCCAGAAACTGTTTGTAAAGAGCAGCCCATGAGCCACAAAAGCTGAGTGTAGAGATTATGAAAGGGGAAGGAAATCAATCTTTGAAGTAGATGCTTCAAACTACTTTTTTCAGCATCCATTGATTCATTAAGTCTTTACGCAGGCTATTTGTGTTCCCACCAGTTGGCCCTTAGTCTCAAAGTGCTTCGTTTCATTCACCAGATCCACAAATAACTCATTATAACAGCTACTGCTCTCCCACTGGTAGTGACACATCCTCTTCAGTGTGCAGATAACGACGGACGAAAGGTGTCGTAAAAGACATTTCCACAAAACACCTGCAGTTTGCCCCCAGTCCTCCCCCTGAGAAAGTTCTGTCAAATCTGTTACTCAGCTAGGACTGAATACAGAAAAAACCCTCCAGCTACTGCGTTCCTAAAGGATCTCCAATGATTTAGACTTACCTCTAAGTCTGCCTAAAATTCTGCCTGAACTTGAATCAAGTTTGTGATCCCCATCAGCTGAAAAATAAGGTAATTTCAAAAATGAGCTAAGAAAATAATATTGTATGATTAAACAATTATCTGTATTTTCTGATACAAAGCACAGGCATCAAACACATCGATCAGCAGCTCTGAGAAGCAAACCTGATACTTTTCAGCTTCTTGATTAATGTGAAATTACAATTCCTAACAGAATTATCATACCACAGATGTTCAGTTTATGCCAATTCAGCCATTAAGAAGATTTGCATGTAAGTTTTTTCTGAGAATTTCATTCCCTCAACTGTTCACTTATGTTACTGTGAAGAATTTATATGAAAGACAAGAACCTTGTGATTTGTAATATGCACAACTACATTGCAGCACACTGCAAAATACAGCTTGACATTTGAAATCGTGTGGTTTCCCTTCAGAGAAGACTGGCTTTCTGGAAGACAGTGATCTGTGAATTTCTTCAGATATTTTGGAGCAACATTCTCTCACCCCTCATAAACTATATCCTCCTCCCTGGTAACTCTTGCCATCCTTCATCTGAAGAAAAATTAAATGCCATGACCAAACTGTCTTTTCCTATATACTACTCAGTTTCCATAAATCTGCACAAGAGGTTTACTTTTACCAATGTAACTGTACCGTGCTCTTTGACACAGTAAATCCAAGCACTGCTTGAATCCAAATGGAATGCAAAAATGCTGTTATGGATCATATCCATGAACGGCAGTACTGCAGAAGTCTAGAGCGTTGGCACATTTGATGTGCTAACCATGTCTGAACACAAAGAGTCGGGAAGCTACACGCTGAAATCTTCAGATGAAATACATCCAATTCAGTTGCACAGCAATACTAGATTGCTGAATTACCTACTCTGCCATAGTATGTCCCAGCCAGTGGCAGAAGCTTGTGTATTCCATGTCCATTTTCTTCTCATGACGAGAATATCTCGATAAAACTATTTATGCCATACAAAATAACCAGTGTAATGATCAAACCCCTACTGCAGTCTACCAGTTTCTCAAAAAATATGTTATTATATCATATGAATTAAGAACAAATTTACATAGCATTGTAAGTACCAATTAAAGCTCTCTCAGCAGTGGATGGAGGTGCATTATGGAAACTCGTCTGACCCATGAAACGCACAAGGTAGTGGTGAACAATAATATAACCTCTTCTAAATGTTATCTGTTTGCATTTTGCTTATACTTTTATAATACTCATAGAGTCCTTTGTTCTCAACAATTTAAAGGTCCCAAAGTGAAAGTGAAACTATGCTCAGAGTATTAAAATTCATGTATTCTAGATGATAACATGAATATATTCTAGTCATTTTTGAGATACCAGTTTTCAGCTTGACACCAATTAAAGTTTTTAGATACATGTTCTGGAAAGGTGGTATGTAATATTAAAAGCACAGGGGGATGCAGTTGCCATGTGCATGCTGAGTCTTTGCATGCAGCACCACAGTAACTGCTCAGAAGGGTGAAGGGACAGTAAGCCTCTCTCTCCTCATACCCTCATCCCTCAGAGTCCAGTGATGTTTCGAACTGGAATGATAGAAGCCCATTCTCGAGAGTTACTCATGGTTACCTCCATAGACAGTTGTCTTCCTCCATCGAATAAATACTAAAATTGCCAGCAGGACAACAACAGGGATAATTAGAAGAGTTGTAATAAGAACAAAGGAAACTCCAGTGCTGGCCTGTCGGACCAGATGTTGTTTTTCCTGCTTCTTTAGAGGGTCTGTTGATTCTGGGTTGTTTTTCAATCTGGCTTCTACAATTGTTTCTGGTTCTTTAAAAAGAAGACAATTTCAATATGTCATCCATATGCATCAAGCAACACAGAACAAGGCATTAAAGAATAGAACAAGCTAGAATACCTGAAGTGTTGAGTAACAAGAAAACAAAAGACAAACACTTATGGAGACATTTTTAGCTCTTGCTGATGTTATTCCAAATGTGAGGCAGAGAGACTCTGAATGGTATCACTCACTAGCAAAGATACCCTCCCCTTTTCTTGAATGGGGAGAGGAGAGGTGTCAGGGAGAATTTTGTCTTTAAAAGTATCTGTCATTTAAAATATAGGGAAATCCCCAAAAGATCTATTTTTCCAAATTAGCGTGTGAGGTAATATCAATTAAATATCTCCCTTCGACAATAATACTTCCACAAGAAATACAGAAATCCAGTACATGTTGTATTATCATAAACAAAAAGGAAAGCATTTAAATTTCTTTCTAGTAAACTTGTGACAAAGGGTTAAATTTTCAGAATGGCCATATCCCGTGAAAGAACTCTGGCTCTGTACACCTGGAGAGCTTTTGAAAACTGCATCCAGTCATTCCTGACTAACCTGTTACCCCTCCACCTACAAGGAGAAAAACAATTTCAGTAAAATCCTCTATGCTGTTTTGTATATGTATAAAAGATCACATGCTTTGTGCTAACTTCTAAGGAGTAAAACTGTCTAGCTTTATGTTTTAAAGCCTGACTTAACTGCCTGTCTTAAGAGGTAGCTGCATCAGAAACACACTCTGCATCAACTCTGTTTTGATTCTGTATCAAACTTAAAATGATGTATTCTGAAAGAATAGAAAATGCTTCAGTTTACGCGTAAGACTAATAGAATGATAACAATGATAATCATTGTTATAACTAACACGATGGTAACAAGGACACAATAACATGCTGTCTGTTCAAGAAAGTAGTAATAGCCAAGAACAATTTTCCTCCACCATCCTGCCCACCTCTGGGCAAAGCTACTGTTCTTCATGTATTTTCCCCCACTTCACAGCAGTGCAAGCAATAGTAACAGTCTGTCACCAGGAGGCCACTCCTGTCCATTTATTAAGCACAGGATGACACAAAGTCCGTTGGCCATCTGTTTTCTTCAAGTGGAGTTGAAAAAACGTTAATTTCAGTTTATGTACCCTAAGCAGTTTCAGAGATTGTTACTTGAAAACTGTTTCTTACCCTGGTGCTACTATTGCATTTGTCTCTGTAACATTAGAAGTGTCAGCTAGCGTGGTATCTGCCTAAAGAAAGCTGAAACGCATTAATGTATACCTAGGTTTGTTGCACTGTGGATGCTGTAATGTCAACACTTCCTTTTTGGGTACCTCAGGAGGACTGATGTACCAGCAGAGGTAAAACAGAAGGATAATGGTTTTGACGGTAAGCATTTCATTGTTTTATAACATCAGCCTACTTTATTCTATGTGCTTCCAATTGGCAGGTGGGATCTTTTGCTATTTTTCTTTGTCTGCATATACATGGCTAAAGCAAATCACACAAGGTCTGAATTCAACCAAAGTAAAACAGTTAAGAACATTTGAACATTTTGTAGAGACCTCTCCATAGCCTGGTACTGTTTTCCTGAAAGAGAAATGAACTTTTCCTTTTCAACAGAAAAGGCCTATATAACGGAATACTAATGGTTAAAATTACTTTTCCTCTTCCTGAATTGCTATTTTACCCCCTTTCAATTTCCTCTACATGTATTTCTTTATCTCCTTAATTTTCTACATGTTTTTATTTTCTTTTTTTTTTCTTTTTTTCATTTTCGTGCAGTAAAATTAAAAAAAAAGAAAGCAGTAAATCCAGGGAAATATATCTAAATAGAAAAAAATGATATTTCTTTGCCATATGGTGTGACTGGCAAGGCTGTGTACTGAAAGACTATGCCGAAAGATAAACCAGCTGCCATTGCAAATAACCCTTTTTTGGTGACTGAGGGTTGTGGAGCAGGGGGGAGGGTGCTGGGGAGTAAGTATCACAGTTATATTTCAGAGCTATTTCTGCATCTAAGGGAGCTGACACAGATACCAATCTGGACCACACCAGATGGTGGTACGGAATTAATCCACTAGTTAAATTTTTATCTCGGTGCCTGTGAAGCACTTGTCATCACTGAAATGTTTAGATTGGCTGTAAAATAGCATCTACCATGTAACGCTTGTTACAAGCTGGTTTCTCATGCTTCCTACACCAGCTCGTTTTATCTATACTCACTGTATGAAATGATGGTGAAAAATAAAACAACAGTGAAACTAGTTAGCATTTTTCCCTCCAACTTGGCAGAAGCAGTCCTAGTCTATGTGAAAAATACTTGGTTCCTTCATTTCTGGTATGAATCAGACTAACCTTTTATTTCCTGCACCTCAATACCAGCCTTTTTAACTGACCGATGTTCCATTTCTGTAAAACAAAATTATTCTTCAGGACAACTGACATTTCAGAAAGACGCTCAGTGACATTTTCCTGCTAGCTTTCTCAACTGTACAGTACAATCCTACAGTAAACAATCCCATCAGCACCTGAACTTCACCAAGGCGAGTCAATATAAACCATTCAATAGCTCACAAGGCCATGGAAAAAAGAAAAGAGCTTGATTCATGGAAGGTGTTTGTAATAATTAACTCACGCCACAGAGAGATTTTATGGGCACATGTAAAGGTTCAGGGATTCCCAGAAAAATAAAACTCTTAATTATAATCAAAATCATGATGGACTAAAGGCTGGCTGAATCAGGGCTCCATGGCTACTGTATTTTTATACTGAAACAAAAGCTAAAAAGAAAATTATATACAAGGACTTTCCACATCTAGCCTGTAAGTGATGAATAATTCTGTTATTTTTTTGTTCTCATGTTTCTTTGAATAAAAGTCTAGAAGTGTTCTCATTCAGGTTACTATATGCAGAAAAAGCCATATCCAGCTAGAATTACAATTTATCTGGTCCAGTTTCCTGTTATTAACAGGAGCTGATACCAGATACCCCAAAGGAAAACCCATGAATTATAAACAGACAAATATGGAATAACTGGCTTAGTCAGAAGTTCATTTATAACAGCAGACTCTTACTGGTTGACTAACACCCTGAAGCCTGAGGCTTTTTCTCTCTCATACATTTTTTATCCAATATAATGTAACAGTGGATTATATTTTTACTCCTGTAAAATATCTAATCTCTCACCAAATCCTACTAAATTGATGTCTGACTAATCAGGTCCCTCTCCCTGAAGTCAGGCTCCTTGGCTTGGGGGTTACTAGATTAAAACTGGGAAGTGTTTCCACTTCATGGAAATTGGACTTCAAATTATACTAGATTCATTTTTCAAATGATGAATACTCCCAATGGAATGAATATAAATTTTAAGTTGACTTGTGTTTTTACTTCAGCCCCTGGTAGTTTCCTATACGATAACCTCAAAGGAAGCAGTTGACTTCTCAGCAAATGATACATTAAAATTACTATAATGCTAAAGTCATGCTTTTGTTTAAGCAGGTACTGACATGACAAGCGATAGATCTACCACAAGGCAAATGCATTTTGATTCCTCCTGCAACAAACAAACTAATGCACTCAGGACTCTCCTTTGACAAAGCATACAGCAATGCTGAAGAATGGTCTTTTAATGAAAGCTGAGCAGTAGCACAGAACTTTTGCAGGCAGAGCTTGTAGTGTACTCAAATCATTGTCATTAAGCTGCCAGGTTCCTTGCCAGTGGTACCAGATAAGTGGTACTGATCTGAAGATACAAAGTTTGAAGTTGTGACATTAAGAACAAAAAGAACATACTTTCTGTGGATGTGAACTTCCACACTACTCTGGCATGAACATCTCCAACAAATACTGTTTTATCTTCTGAAGCAACAACATCATGTGGCATCTCAAAGCTCTGTGAAGACAAGCAGTCAAAGATTACTCTCAAGTGTCTACACATTCACTAACCCTGAACTTGAGACTGGTCATATTCAGTCCTCCGACTGGAAAATGCAGCAGGTGCTGGTGTGAAGGCCCAACATGAGTGAAGGGAGAGGAATTCCATTTCTAGCCTATGGTTGCCTTCTCCATGGACAACAACATGGAGATTATTAGATGTATTCATGCTAACCAATTTTTATATTCATAATAGTTGTATTTAAATTCTTGCATTCAATTTATCCTGTGAAATATATATTTAAAAAATCATGAATCTTGGTTTCAAGCCCACGTATTTAATCTTTGTTAACTTGTATGCAACATAGCTATTTGCTATACTCAGAAAAAAAAAATAACTCTAAAAGACTGGGCTGCAAATAACACTGTATGTGTGTTACCCAGAAATGGGAATCTTAACATTCTTTCTTTAGTCTAAGACAATATATGGATTTTTTTTTTCAATAAACAATTTTTATGTCCTGTATGAATGACATTTAGCCTTAACTTCTACACTAATCTTCTGTACAGAGGGGATGTAACCATACAGTTGAATAATATTTCTGGTTAGGAATACACTCTATTTTTGACATTACTAGCATCTAACTATATGAATATTTCATGCCATTCATTCTTCTCTTAAATTAGCTTTTAAGTACTGTCTGACAGCAATAAAGTAGTTATCCTTACTGAAGGTATTATCTGTAGGAATCAACTTGAGGGTAGTATAATTTTTGAAATTCTAGTGTCTTTATTAAGTTAATATTATAAAGAATTCCTTTTGAATACCTTACATTATAAAACATCTTATTTCCTGTAGTAGTCTTACAGAAAAATTGGAGAAATAGGATGTTACCAATGTTCTCACATATATAATTGTATGCACCAGGCACTCTGTGCAATACTCTACCTTTCTAAGCGGAATGAAAGTATCAATTATTTCTCCAGTAGAGAAGTTCATCACAAATCCTTGCACTGGTTCTGCCCCTCCAGGATAAGGCATTCCATTAACTGCAAAGAGGAGACCACCTGCAACAACATTAGATTTGCTTTAACAACCCCCACACAGCAAACTACAGTGAAGATGAATTGTAATAGTATAGATGAAAAAAGGTTGTCTGAGAGGAAGACAGAGGCAAAGACAGATAGAAAGGTAACTCAACAGAAAACTAAATCGCAAGAGGGAGATTAAGCAAGATTTAGCAGGTAAAAGTTTGGCATTTAAAAGATGCACACTTTGTTCCAATGAGAAGAACAAGCAATGCAATTTTTTACAGATTGGTTAAATGTAAAAAGAATGTAAAAGAGTTTAAAAAATCTGAAGAATGCTTTGCTAAGGATGTTTGATATGATAACGGAAAGTTCTTTAAGTGCATCAAAAGCAGAAAGTCAGCTAGGGAACCAGTGGGAACACAAGAGGAAAAGGTGTGAAAGGGAGACTCAGGGATGAGGGGCCTGTGGCACAGAATCTCAGTTTTAGTCAGTTTTTTCTGTTGAATATGTTGAGGAGATTCCGACACTTTTTTTTTTTCTTCATAGCAAATAGGTCAGAGGAGCCAGCTCAACTGGAAGGAGATACACAAAAGGTGTTAGACAAATTGGAGATTAATAACTCACCAGGTTTGGATAGCATTCACTCAAATTCTGAAGGAACTCAAATGTGAAATTACAGACCTCAGGCCAAGCTGAATAACCTAGCATTGCAAACAGCCACTCCTCCAGAAGACTAGCAGACTGCCAAAGTAATGTCCACCTACAAGAAGTCCTCAAAAGGGTGCCTGGGAACTTTAAGTCAGTAATTCTGGCTTCCATCCCCAGTAAGATGGTAGAATTCATAATGAAGAATAAGACATGGGTAAGTGTAGCCTGTCGGGAGCAAGTTGCTCTGGCTCCTCTAAGGGGAAATTGTTCCTCACCTCTGAATGGGGAGAAAAAGCAGCCAGGTAAAGGAGATTCTGTAGACATACTTGGATTTTCAGAAAGCCTTTGACAGGGTTGTGCATCAGAGGTTATTAAAGAATGTCAATTGTCACAGGGCTAAATGAAAGACCCATTAATGAACAAGAAGCAAAGAGCAGAGCTTCACGGGAGAGTTTATCATTTTTCAGGATAGAGAAATCTGAATGGTATGATCCTGCAGGGATCAGAGCCAGAAACAATTTCATTCAATAGTCTCATCAGTGACCTGAAGAATGGGGTGAACAGTGACATCTCCCAGTCTGAGGAAGGTACTGAGTTCTGCCGAGCTGTCAAAAGCTTGATGTTATTGAGAAAGTCTGGAAAGACTTTTTGTAAGAATAATAGAGTTGTCAAACAGCTGGCAGAAGAGCTTTGGCAAAAAGAAATGTAGAGTGATGCTTCTGTGAAAAAAATACAGATCCTGCCTACGCGATGTTTAGCTTGGAACTGGCAGCTACAACGCAGGAGAAGCATCTCCAAGCCATCAGTGAAAGGTTTCTGAGATCTTTGGTTCTGTATACAGTGACAGCCAAAATTTCAACAGAATGTTGGGCGTCATCAGGAAGGAATTAGGAATGGAGGGGACAATTCTGCTACTGTGCAAAAACTTAGCATGCCCATGTCTTGAGTGCTTTACTCCCGGCATCTCAAGAAGGTCCTAATGAAGTTAAAGATGCTAGAAGAGAAAGGCAACTACAATAGACAAGAGGCTGAAGCTATTAAATGGCTTATGGGGAGAGGGTAAGGTGGCTGGGGATCTGTGGTTTGGAAAGGAGAAGGCAGCAGATATGGGGAGTGTGGAACTGTTCTTCACTAACTCCTAAAACACTGGGATTGAGAAGCACTCAGCGAAACTAGGTCACTTTTTAAAATTAAAAAAATAAAGGTGGTTAGCGAGCTTCTGGAGCCTGTAACTGCATGAGGTCAAGAAGGCAGAGAGTACTACAAGCCAGTTCAAAACGGGATTAGGAAAAGTCATGGGCAATAGGTCTATAGAAAGACACTATGAAGAAGAGGTCAGGAGCTACCTCCTAACACCCCTAGATAAAGTGTTTCTGGATGCCTAGGGATAGGAGAGGAATGGACCACAAAAGGCAGCCAGGCTTACAGATTCTCCTCAGAACGCCTCTCTTGCTGCCACTGTCAGAGACAGAGCGCTGGGCTATAGGTATCAAGTATCTCAACCAGTAAAACATTTCTTATGTTCTCGGCAGGTGCAAGAGAGATAACCATGATGTTAAATTTGAGATCAACTATAGAATCAGGAGCCTGACATGCCAAAATTCCTTATCCAGTTCTTGACACTTACATTACTTCAGCATTGGTATTAAAAATCTAACGCAAAAACTTAATATAGTAATTGTTAACCAGATTGTGATATTAAAACCCACAACTTTTTCAAACTGTTTGCTTTCAGATTTTTTTTCTTGATAGTTCGGAAGCTCTTTATTTTGCTCTCTTCAATAAAGCTTGAGATGAATGTTTTAAAACATTATTGTTAACTAATTATTGACTGTGCAGTCACTAGGAAGCAAACAAGATCATCTACTTGTTGACATCACATTTAGGGAGTCTAATCAGTCATTTCTCAGAAGCAGAGCTTATATGCAAGCTTCCCTCATCCTGCAAATAGGAAAACAGGATATTTCTAAAATTTTCCATTACATCAGCTCTACTTTGAAAGAGAATAAATATCTGGCCTAAGATAACATGATAGCACTCTTCATGAAATAACACTGTGTACTGTGACATACTGGCATAGAGCAACTACTTGAAATCTGAAGAACAGGAAAAAAAATTACCTGGAACATATGAAACTGCAAACAACTGTCTTCCAAATGATTTGTGCTTGATCTCTCTTATGAACTCCCCAGTCTCCAACCTGAAGCACTGAATTCGACCGTTTTCCCTGTCTGCAACACATAGCTGACTGAAGTCGGGGATCAGGGCTAAGCTGTGAGGGATATGAAATTGTCCAGGTCTGGCTCTGCCTAAAGAAGTCTCTGCAATACAAAATACCCAGGTTTCTGTTAAAGTACACACTAAAACTATCAGTTTTGCTTAGAAACAGCAATATGTCACATAACACAGTATGACATTGGGAAAAGAATCAAGTCAGCTTGCTTTCTTCTCCTAGAAGTTTGTTTAGGTAGATAAACTGTGATAGTCTGTCACATTGTCTTTGTAAATCCTGAATTTATGATTTACTATTTCCCTATAAAATTTGGCATAGTTTGATGCCTGATACATGAATCCAGTCAGGCAATAATGTAATGGGATCATGGCATACATCTTGTAAAAACGGTTAAAGGCTTATATTAGTTGATCAAATGTTTAAGAAAAAAAAAAAGGTTTTTGTGAAAGTCAGAACATTTTCTTTGTAAGTCCGGACATGCCAAGACTTGTCCTGAAAGAATGCTAACAAATTCCCATTTTTTATTTGTAGTAAATATATAACTACTACAAGTAGCTGTATGAATAGAAGAGAGTAAACTGGAATGCAATGACAAGGCTGAAATTCAGCCAGGGCCTGGAAGGTATTTCGGTAACAGAAATTCATAAATAAAAGCAATATTAACATCAGCAACCTCATGGTTCATGGTGAGTCCATAACAACAGCAGTACGGGTAAAGTTCCAAGAGCTCTGACCTGTACCTTCTCCCCACTGCATCATGTACAATCCATTTGGAGAGAACTGAATGATTCGGCTGTTGCAGTAGCCGTCAGAGACATAAATGCTGCCAGTGATCGGATCCACAGCCACATCGGTTGGTTGACAGAAATGATTTTTGTCACTGCCCGGTTGCAAAGCTACTCCTAAGACCAGTAATGCTTCTTTACCATCTGCTCCCAGTTTGAAAACCTTTTTTTTAGACAATGGGAGAAGAGAAGAAGTTTCAGTTATGGAAAGTGAAATTTAAGAGGGATGACTGCCTATGGAAAAATATCTATTAATGTGCATAAGATAAATTTATATACCAAACACACCCTTAATATATTGACCAGTTTTTCAACAGTGTCGGTTCTAGGAAATTTTTGCATAAAATATAAATCTCCTGTGATTACAGTGAACAAGTTAGTTTCATATTCTGGGTTTAAGTACATAGGAGACTTGATAAGCAAAGATGTAGCAGAAAGATCTATTCTTTTTCAAAAGAATCATTGTTTTAAAACAGATACTTTTATTTCTGAATACTATGTCCACGTAGCAAATTATTCAATACAACTGTATTCCATGAAGGCCACAGATGTCAATTTCTGTAGGCATATTCTGAAATGTTTTTCTTAACAGGCCTAGATAAATAATTCATGCCAAATCTCCATGAAAACAAAAACATTTTTTTTTTTTTAAATATTAAGACCTTAGCATTAAAGCTTCAAAAACGTACCTGATGGAGAGCTACATCAGTGACCCAGTAGTTACCATTTTTATCTATACTTAAACCATGTGGTAAATAAAATCTGCAAGTACAAACGTAGAAGAATCAAATTAAAAACATCTTTCAGGAAGAATGATGTAGATGTGAAGACTTCGCTTTTTATCTACATAGCAACAAATGTTGTACATACTAACTACCTGTAATATTAATGAAAAAGATACCTTTACAGAATAGAATTCTCTTGACAAGAGTGTCTCAGCCCTGGAATTCACTCGATTTCTGGTATCTCAGGCTATTACTTGCTATCTTTCAGGACAATATACAATACTCATGAGCTCTGCTTTTCTGTTAATCTGGCTGGTAGATGAAATTGTATGAATTGCTAGAAAGCGGAGGTGGTAAAGATGGTGAATTACTTGTATTAGTTGTTGACTTTGTAATTTTCATTTGTTTGTTAATTTAAATAAACTCAGAGGCTACAATCACACAATGTGATATAAAACAGGTGAAAATGGTCTTGGGGACTTTTTGGAGTAAAATATACAAAAATTTATATTTTCCATATTTTTCTAATATTTTCTATTGATAAAAGCAAAAATAACTTACAGACTTTTGCCCATGGAACGAAGCAGTTTTGCATTACTTGGATTCAGGACAAGAATTGTGCTCTGTTCAATTGGTCCAAGTCCTCTTTGCTGATAAACAAATTTGCTGTCAAAAGAACTATACAAAAATAGTGAAATAGAGAGCCAGCATTAGAAGGTTCCACTGATGAACAATACACATGCAACATACAGCTGAGTTCTGTAGTTTAATTCCAGTGGTGGGTTATTGGCTTCTTTTCTTCAAATAAGTCTTATTATATGATTGTATGATTATAAGAGTTACAGTGTTGGATGTCTGCATCTCCTACTGAGGTTATGACTTCCAAACTAAATGTGCACAGCCATGATTAAGATAATCCTAAAGCAAGCAGGCAAAAAACCTCTTCCTTTTTTTTTTTTTAATTTTGCTGTGGCAAATCAGGAATGGGAAATCAAACAATGTAGCCAAGTAAAATGTAGCTAATCACCACGGCATAATTGCCAGTATGAACAGGTATACTTTGTACTGTCTAAGGCAGTGTATGCACGTTTGCATGTCTTTTGGATTTTTTTTTTTTCCAAACACAATTCAATATTTTGCTAGAGCTTACTGCTGTAAGATTCAGGTCTTAAGGTTCTTATCCTTGCGGGAGACTATAGGATATGATGTGTATTTCTTCTACCCCCACAACTCTACACTCAATTTTCAGGGTATTTGGAATATATTAATAAGCACCATTTAAACACATTACTATTTCAGACACTAAGAACCAGGATTAACTTTCCAGAAGACATTTAGTAGGCATAAAATCATAATATGCTTAACAAAGAATAAAAAATATAGTTGTCTGTACCCCTATGGAAAAGTTGGCTATTAACTCTAACCTGTTGAAGTGAAGATAAATAGAGTGCAAAATGTTTTGAGCAAAATTTAAGTCTAAATATTAGGAAATGGTATTAGACTGTGAGTATTTGATGTGGATGAAAAATGTGTGAAAACAAGACATAGACCCCCTCTCATGTTGTATTTTTAAATCCATTTGTTAATCCCAAGAGAAATCCAGCTATGATTGATGCAACTTGGTAAACAAGAATATACTTTGTAGTCACAGAGAAGGCTATGAATAAAGCTATTAAAACTTTATATTGTACAGTCCTAGCAGCCTCACCTCTCCATAACATTAAATATTTATATGTCTAGAATTTTCAATGTGGAAAAGCAATACTGGCTTCATATATAACCAGAAAAATCTATGACAGGATGTGTTTGAGTTTCTGAATAGGCTACGATTAAAAAATAATATTTAGATATTGCCATAATATACAGTAACTATTTATTTAATTTCTGACAGAAAGCACTAAATCCTTTTCACTATGAATGGTTAAGCACAAGGTGATAGTTACTAAAACTCTCTACTGAGCCCTCCTAAACGCTCTGCTGTGATGCTACAGGGAGACATAGGGTAAGGGGTACTGGCACACAATGGCATGCTGATGTAGGCTTGTTTGACATATCTGCTTGTTTGACTGTGATTCAGCAGCTGTTGTTTTATTCTTTACCATTACTGACAGTAATCTTCCATAACATGTTCTCTTGGTTTTAAACATTTTTATTCAAAAAGGAATCTAATACTCGTAATGACTTGCTCTAGGTATGGATGACCACAACTGGAGAACCAACACTGGGCAGACTTAACTAATATTATTATTAATGTTATTATTAATCAGCACAGCTAATCACAGAAGAGAATCTTAGTGATGGTAGGTATTGTACAAAAAACCCTCAGAAAACAAGATCATATTGCTGGAGAACTGACTAGCTAGTCCACTTAAAAAAATTATTTGCTTTCCTTATTATGATTTTGTTTCTTAGTACCAGTGCTGTCTAGACTTCTAAGTCTTCCCTGCTAACAACTACCCAGCTCTTCTGGGAACTGAGTGCTTTCAGTGTAAATAAGAGACTGTAAGGTATTTTACGCAAAGGAAGCCTAGTGAACTTTGAAATGGGTTTATGGGAGTGATCTTCCATGCATCTTCTCCCTGTCGAATAC